CATTTAAATTTGTAAGGTAAACATGGTGGGGGGGGGGGAAATCAAGACTGTTCTCTTAAAGCCTTGTGTGCCTTTAAACACACACAATAAAAGATACCAAACAGGAGTCTTATTAAGAGGACTGTGTGAAAGGAGAGTGATGTTAATATCTATGTAAGATCCAGCTAAACATCCACCATAGCTCTTTCCTCCCTGACTGCCTGAGGATCACCTGCCATCATGAATGACACAGTAACTATCCGTACCAGGAAGTTCGTGACCAACTGACTATTTCAGAGAAAACAAATGTTCATCAATGTCCTTCATCCTGGGAAGGCAACAGTACCTAAGACACAAATTCATGAAAAAACCAGCTAAAATGTACAAAACTACCCCAGATGTCATTTTTGTATTTGGATTCAGAACCCATTTTGGTGGTGGAAAGACAACTGGCTTTGACATGATTTATGATTCCTTGGATTATGCAAAGAAAAATGAGCCCAAACACAGACTTGCAAGACATGGCCTGTATGAAAAGAAAAAGACCTCAAGGAAACAGCGAAAGGAAGAAAGTCAGGGGGACAGCAAAGGTCAATGTTGGTGCTGGTAAAAAGCCAAAGGAATAAGGATTCGACAATGACTTTAACTGCAATGATTGTGCGGGTTTTCCATGAGGGTTAATAAACTGTAAACAACTGCGATGGTTGTGGGCTTTTCATGAGGATTAATAAACTCAACAATTTCATGCGTCTGGAAAAGAAAAAACAAACATCCACCACATATGTTCTCATGAAATATCAAGTTCCCTCTTATCATATTGGTCACCTGTTTTCAAAAATGTATTTTTAAAAACACATGATTTTTAAAAAATGTTTAAAATACAGACGAAAATATACAGAAGTTACTTGAAAAAATATTACACGGTATAATGTGAAATTCTGGTGTTTGTCTTCCACTTTGAAACTATAAAACATACCCTATGCAACACCTTTGGGTTTCAACTGTGAGAAACTGAACTGCATGTTCTTACATGCATGTTCTTAGACTGGCACCACCTTAATATATGGCTGTGCTTTAGGGCTCCTCATTTATTCCAAACTCATCAAAATAAGAGACTGGCCTAGATGACCTTACAATCCTTTGTCTTTTCAAACAGAATTTGGGAGGGAGGTGGATGTAGTGGTGCTGGGGTTTGAACTCAGAGCTTCATGCTTGCTAGGCAGGTGTTCTACCAACATGAGCCACTCTCCACCAGCCCTCCAAATAGTTCTTAAATGTGTTTTCCAAATGTGTATAAATTATGTATTTTCCAAGCGTTTTGTTCTTCTTAAAAAATATATCACTTCTCCCCTTTTGTTATAAAGAACATTTGTAGGATAAGTGTTCAAATTTCAATCAAGTCTACAGATTGGTTAATATTACCTTCAGTGTTCCTTTCTTAACGCGTGCAACTATGCAGCTAGGAATTAATAGCTGTTATCTTCCACAGTTTTGAAGAAGCTGCAGTATTTAGGAGAGGTAATAAGAACACCACGCCTGGGAGGGTTTGATGGGTGAAACAAGTGAGGGGGAGGGAAAAAGCAAAGGTGATGGGGCGAGTATGACTGCAGTGCATTATATGCATGTACGAAAACAGAGTAATGAAACACACCAATCCTTTTTTAAAGGAGGGAGAGAGATAAGAGTAATAGAAGGGTGAATATGATCAATATGATACGCGTATATGGAAATATCACAATGACATCCCATTGTACAATTAATACACACTTAAAAAAAGAACACATCTAAAACTTCTCAGAGTTCAGAAAAAGAAACAGTAAGACAAAACATTAACATTTGGAGAATTTGGTCAAAGGATATATATGGCATTTGTTGTGTATTTCTGCAATTTCTCTGAACTCATTCATACTAAAAACTAAATACTGTACTAACAAATCATTTAGCAAAGGGGGTGGGAAGTAGCAAATGGGTAAAAAAGATCTCATTTATTATCTCAAAAACTTAAGAAAACTCTATTTAGAACACATACAAAGGAACCTAGTTAAAAGGTCACTCAGAATGAAAAGTTATTTCAGGGACCCGATGTTCGTTGATCACTACTTCACCTTAGCATTAAGATTAAAGTTTAATATTCTTAGCAACAAAATAAAATGAAGTCATTCTCCTTGTCTAACAAATGTAAACTTATTAGTATATCTAAACTTAAATATCCATAGTATGATTTTTAAAAGAAAAGTAGGAGACACAAAAAAAGTCTGCCCTAGTATTAAATTCTGTGAGGAATTACTTCATTGTGGTTTTAAATTGCCATAAGTATAAATTCTGTAAATTCCAATTTTTCTTGGAGCTGGGTGACAGTCAGTTGAAGACTGAGTGGTTAAACACCAAAATTTCTGATATTCCTAGTCATCAGACTTCTAAATGCCATTGTAAAAGACAAACATGGTTTTGAAAACAGACGTGATTCTGTACAGTGGAAGAAATCATCCCACCTCTCAGAGATGTGGGGATAGGAACACCAGAGGGTAGGTCAGAAATTTCTACTAAAAACAAAACAATAAGAAACACCTTAAGTGTACTTCTTGAGTACGTTTATAAAATGAATACACTCAGACTTCCTCAACAGAGGCTCTGGGGCCTAGAAAATGGAGTACAGGTAGAAATCGCTCACAGCATATCTGAGTGAAGAGCACTGGATCCTGAGGGGAAAGCAAACTCTCCAGGAAACACCTAACAAGACTGTATTGTGAATTAACTAAATGGAATTTTTCTATTAGTGAAATACTTCCAAATTTATGGCAACAGCCAATTTTATTTTTACATAGTTGGCATTAAGCCAAATGGACAAAATCCAGACCAAGTGGTTCGGTTTCTTAAGGCTTTTGAGATCAAATCCATGTTCTTGGAATAATTCACTCAAGATTTATTAAGCACAGTGAATTCAACTATGATATATTGTAAGAATTTTTGTAAATGTCACAATGTACCTCCAGTACAGTAATACAAAAAAAAATTTTTTTAATTAAATACTAAAAAAAAAAAAAAAAAAAAGAGATTTATTAGGCACCAACTGTGCCAGGCTCAGTGGAGGGGTGAGCAGAAACAAAAGACAAAAATGAGATTGCATCTATTTATAGTCTACTGCATGATATGTGCAAACATGTAATTTGAAAGATATAATTAAAAATGTGTCTATGGCAAGCATGAGGCCTTGAGTTCAAACCCCAGTACCTCAAAAATTAAAAAAAAAGAAAAAATGTGTTCTAATATGCTACTGACAACAAAACCAAAAGGCTCCGAATTCCCTGGAAAAGTCAGGAAAGGACTCTGGGAGGTAGTGAGTCTGGAGACAGTGAACACATTGACATTCACTCTGTTAAAAGAAGGTACAAACCAAACAAGATACCTTCCTAACAGAGAGTAGTTAAGTACAAAAAGGCAGGGATAACCCAAATAGCACAGTGCATTCAGAGAACATAATCATTTCAATAAATACTTTCAAAGAAGCATTAATAGCCTGATCTGGGGTGAGTGAAAGGTTAACTCTGATAAAGTCAGGTATTTTTATAATCATTAAATTCTTCCAAGAGTACTAAGTGACTTCTAGGGCCAGGTGAAAGGCTATACAAACATAAAACAGTAGTAGAAATACAGTGTCATAAGCTTACTTTGTAAGACAGTTGTTTGAGAAATCTGAATTCTAAGGAATTAAGAGGACTTTGAGAATAGGAACGGAGCTCTACCTTTCAATTGGAAGCATGTGGTTCATAGTAGGTGCTCAGTTATTTTTCACATAATTAATCAACCAATCAGTCAACCAATTAATCATTCTTAACAGCACGACAGCTTTAAGACAGCTTGAAAACCAAAGCTAATGTAGTCTTTAAGCAAAGGCAACAAAACCAATGGTTCTGAGGCTTACTAATATATAGAACTAGCCCTTGAGGAAACTAGGAAGTCAAAGATGCAAAAGTTTTAATAATATATAATACAATGTCTTCCTTACCCAGGAACCGTCTTTTCCCTCAACCACCATTAGCAAAATTCAATAGTCTAGTAATAACAGCGAAAAGCCAATGCTACAAGTAATACTGACTTGATAACAAAACATACCTCATTACAATGAAAAAGAATTAAGTTATCTTTAAATAGCTTTTCAATAATGCCAGTCAGCAAACATGGCCTTAACAGCCACACCAGCTGTTTTTATCAGTAAGGTTTTATTGGAACACAGCCAGGCCATCTGTTTCCAGACATCTATGACTACTTTCACACTGCAAAGGCAGACCTGACTGGTTAGGAGTGATTTTCTTCCTTTACAAAAAACAGTACCTCAGGTTTGTTTGGCTATTCAGCAGGACAGTAGGAGAACGGGCAAAAAGGTAAAACAAGGCAGCAGAGAAGAAAGGAAGAACTGCCAAGTCAAAACACCAAGAAAGCAAATACCACAGTATCAAGACCTATAGAAGAAAATGTCCATTAGCATCACGACAAGGGAAGGACAAGACACTATGGTAACTCAAGCAGTATAGTAGGGACTTTTACAAAAACATGTACTCAAATTATTTCACGTGCATAACCTCTTAAGTTTATGCACATTTCCCATGCATTAAGTTAGGTCTAAATAGTTTTCTTCCCCTCAAGTACTATTGTAATAAATTCGAAGGACTAAAATTCAATTGAAAATGAATTATTTTAATGCCAAAATTTTTAAGAATAAAAATCAGACTTTACTTGAAAATTTGGTTACCTTAAAATTGCTACTTTAGTTAATAAGCAAAGTATCTTATGGCTAATCAGTAAATGTTCAGCCTCAAGATTACAATTATCATCATATACACAGAGAACTCAAAATACACATTAAATTAATAGATTGAAAGGAAGATTGTCAGAAATGGACTACGTTTAAAGGCAAATATATTCTTAAATTAGATTCTGTTCCTTAAACACAATTAATTTTTTTAAAAACACTTTAAATTGCACAGAGCAATTCTAAATACCTGCATTTTCTAAATACCAACAGTTTATTAGGTATGTAATTTATTAAATAAACTTATCAAAAACTATAAAATTCACCATTTTCTATGTACCAGGCATCAAGCTAAGTATATTACATGCAGCTTCTCATTTAATACATAATTAACTGAAGTGTTTACAAGCATATATATTTAAAATAAAATTCTGATCTATGGCCATCCAACCTTGAATGTGTCTAATCTCATCTAAAATAAAGCTCTGAAGTAGTTAACTCTCTAAACAAAGTATTTATTATCAAATGGTGGAAAGAATGTTCACATATAGGAAAACTGGAAAACAAAGTTTTAAAATTATACCTATTTTTGCCTTCTGACATATCTTCTGAACTTTTGCTTTCTTCTTTAAAATATTGGCCTGAGCTAGATGGATTAGCAAAAGTAGATATGAAAGGTCCCAGAGATTGAAAAGCTGCTTGACGAACCTAGGAAGAAAGGGCAATAATAAAACATAAGTGAAGAGGTTTTTAAAACACATACATATTTGGCTGGGCATGGTGGCTCATGCCTGTAATACCAGTTATTCAGGAGACAGAGATCATGAGGGTCAAGGTTCAAGGCAAGCCTGGGCAAAAGTCAGGAAGACCCTCATCTCAATCAACAAGCTGGGAGTGATGGCACACATCTGTGATCACAGGAGAATGTATGGAAGATGCTATCTTGGTAGAAGATCAGCCCCTGACAAAAACATAAAATCCTACCTAAAAAAAAAATAGCTAAAGCAAAAAAGGCGGGCAGATGTGTGGCTCAGGTTGTTAAGACACCTGCCTAGTAAGTGTGAGGTCCTGAGTTCAAATCCCAATAAAAAAAAATCAAAAGAGCACAAAAAACCCCCTAAACCAACCCCCCTTCCATTTAATCCACTTTTCATATATCAAAGTCACAGTATGTTTGGGATAATAATGTTTTTCTTTTAGGAAAAAAAAATCCAGATTTTGAATTATAAAAATCATTCTTTAGAGAAGTTTTAAAGATTGTTTGGGGAGTTCTGGAGTTTGAACTTGGGACCTCACGCTTGTCTGGCAGGCACTCTACCACTTGATTCACTCCACCATCCCTGTTTTGTGTTGGGTTTTTTCGAGATAAGTTTTTGCAAACTATTTGCCTGGGTTGGCATTGAACCACAATCTTCCTGATCTCTGCCTCCTGAGTAGCTAAGGATTATAGGCATGAGACATAGGCGCCCAGCCAAAGTTTTAAAAGTCTTTATATACTTATATAAAATTTCTCCTTTATATTTTCAACTGTTTTTTATTTTGGCTTGAATATTCAAACCACAATAATCTGAGTATGAGATTCTACAAAACATTTGCATAAAACAAATTTTTAGACTGTCTTGCTGTATTCCCAAGAACCAAAAGAATAAAGAGAACCAAGACCAACAAACAGAAAATATAAAGCAATAAAATCAAACAAATGTGACAAATACATTTAATGTTTTCAAGTAGAAAAGATTAATTTGTTCACTATAAGGAGGCAGGCCAGAAGTATCAGAACTGGACTGATACCCACTGGAAAACTCTAAATATATTCACCAAGACCTGGAAGCATATACTACTATTATTAATAAATGTCACATGTGGGGGGAAGGTGGTTTTAGAATTTTACTTGATATTGTATACCTGTATTTATTAAATCAGGATTTTTAAAAGCAAAACATACAAAGGGAGCTTGTTTTATGGGAGGAAATAAGGATGGACACAACTTGACAAAAGGCAACAAAAATTGAAGAGCTGGTATGTTGTTTATCCTTGATTGTGCCACAGACCAAGTTCTCTGAGGTTTAGCAACCTTTTTCTAGCAAGGAGGATAATAATACCTTTATGTGTGAATTTCACACACATATATATGTATGTAAATAAATATAATGCAGATCTATTAGAATTTACCTACTTGAAAAAGCACATATGAAAACATGATACTTAGCATGAGGACTGAGTTCAAAGCCCAGTATTGCCAAAAAAAACAAAACAAAAAAACCCACAAATATGATTCAGTTGACTTTTAAAAAGGCTAGAATTATATGCTTCATAGGGGAAAATGTTTAAGTGCTAACTCAGGGTTTTTACCCCTTTGTAAGTCAATGAACATTACCTCCATAATAACATAAAAAGTTACTTGTCTGAGTTTATTATTTTCTCAATATTGTCAAATCGCCAAACTTGTTCCCAGTGAAGGCCATAGAAAACCTAATCTATTTAGTAATTTTAAAACTACCTATAGATGTGCGAAGCCAGGTAACATGGCGGCAGCCGTTCTTAGTGGGCCCTCTGCGGGCTCCTTGGCTGGGGTTCCCGGCGGGACCGGGGGTCTCTCGGGAATGGGCTCGGGCCCACGTCTGCGTCTACTGCTGTTGGAGAGCGTTTCCGGGTTGCTGTAGCCGAGAACAGGGTCCTCAGTAGCTCCTGTGCATCCCCCAGTCCATTGGGCCCCACATTTGCCTGGGCTCATGTGCCTGTTGCGGCTGCATGGGATGGTGGGCGGGGACCAGAACCTCTCAGCTCTTGGGACATTGGTGAGTCTCAGTAATGCGCATCCAGAAACTAAAACAATATGTGACCACAAAGCCACCACTACAAAGGATTCTTCAAGGGATTCTGCACGCAGAAAGTGCAATCCAACATAACCATGAAAGGACAGGCAGCACCAAACTACAGGAAAAGAAAAAGCAGGACAGTAGAGAGTAACCTCAACTGAGGTACACACAATCAAACCTTCAAACAACTAAGACAACTAAATGACAGGAATCACCACAGACCTATCAGTACTAACGCTTAATGTTAACGGACTTAATTCACCCATCAAAAGGCACCACTTGACCAAATGGATTAAAAAGGAAGATCCAACAATTTGTTGTTTACAGGAGACCCATCTCACCGACAGAAATAAGCATAGGCTAAGGATGAAAGGCTGGAAGATTTACCAAGCCAATAGCCCCAGAAAACAAGCAGGAGTAGCAATACTTATCTCTGACAAAGTAGACTTCAAACCTACATTGATCAAACGAGATAAAGAAGGACATTCCATACTAATAAAAGGGGAAACAGAGCAAAAGGAAATAATAATTATCAACCTATATGCACCCAATGTCAACAAACCCAATTTCATCAAACACCCTGAAAGACCTAAAAGCATATATAAACGCCAACACAGTGGTTGTGGGAGACTTTAACACCCCATTATCATCAATAGATAGGACATCCAAACAAAAAATCAATAAAGAAATCCAAGATCTAAAATATGCAATAGATCAAATGGACCTAGTTGATGTCTACAGAACATTTCATCCAACTTCTACACAATATACATTCTTCTCAGCAACCCATGAAACCTTCTCAAAAACAGATCATATCCTAGGGCACAAAGCAAGTCTCAGCAAATATAAGAAAATAGAAATTATACCGTGCATACTATCTGATCACAATGCAGTAAAAGTAGAACTCAACAACAAAAGTAAAGACAAAAAACATGCAAACAGCTGGAAACTAAATAACTCATTACTTAATGAAGAATGGATCATCGATGAAATAAAAGAGGAAATTAAAAAGTTCCTGGAAGTCAATGAAAATGAAAACACAACCTACCAGAACCTATGGGACACAGCTAAGGCAGTCCTGAGAGGAAAGTTTATAGCCATGAGTGCATATATTAAAAAGACTGAAAGATCCCAAATCAATGACCTAATGATACATCTCAAACTCCTAGAAAAACAAGAACAAGCAAATCCCAAAACAAATAGAAGGAGAGAAATAATAAAAATAAGAGCTGAAATCAATGAAATAGAAACCAAAAAAACCATACAAAGAATTAATGAAAAAAAAGTTGGTTCTTTGAAAAAATAAACAAGATCGATAGACCCCTGGCAAACCTGACTAAAATGAGGAGAGAAAAAACCCAAATTAGTAGAATCAGGAATGCAAAAGGGGAGATAACAACAAACACCATGGAAGTCCAGGAAATCATCAGAGACTACTTTGAGAACCTATATTCAAATAAATTTGAAAATCTTAAAGAAATGGACAGATTTCTAGATACATATGATCATCCAAAACTGAACCAAGAGGAAATTAATCACCTGAATAGATCTATAACACAAAATGAAATTGAAGCAGCAATCAAGAGTCTCCCCAAAAAGAAAAGTCCAGGACCTGATGGATTCTCTGCTGAATTCTATCAGACCTTTAAAGAAGAACTGATACCAACCCTCCTTAAACTGTTCCATGAAATAGAAAGGGAAGGAAAACTGCCAACACATTTTATGAAGCCAGTATTACACTTATCCCAAAACCAGGCAAAGACACCTCCAAAAAGGAGAACTATAGGCCAATCTCCTTAATGAACATTGATGCAAAAATCCTCAACAAAATAATGGCAAACCGAATTCAACAACACATCAAAAAGATTATTCACCACGACCAAGTAGGCTTCATCCCAGGGATGCAGGGGTGGTTCAACATACGAAAATCAATAAACGTAATAAACCACATTAACAGAAGCAAAGACAAAAACCACTTGATCATCTCAATAGATGCAGAAAAAGCCTTTGATAAGATCCAACACCATTTCATGATAAAAGCTCTAAGAAAACTAGGAATAGAAGGAAACTACCTCAACATTATAAAAGCTATATATGACAAACCTACAGCCAGCATTATACTTAACAGAGAAAAACTGAAACCATTCCCTCTAAAATCAGGAACCAGACAAGGATGCCCACTATCTCCACTCCTATTCAACACAGTACTGGAATTCCTAGCCAGAGCAATTAGGCAAGAAGAAGGAATAAAAGGAATACAAATAGGTAAAGAAACTGTCAAAATATCCCTATTTGCAGACGACATGATCCTATACCTTAAAGACCCAAAAAACTCTACTCAGAAGCTTCTAGACATCATCAATAGCTATAGCAAGGTAGCAGAATATAAAATCAACATAGAAAAATCATTAGCATTTCTATACACTAACAATGAGCAAACGGAAAAAGAATGTATGAAAACAATTCCATTTACAATAGTCTCAAAAAAATCAAATACCTAGGTGTAAACCTAACAAAAGATGTGAAAGACAAGGAAAACTATACACTTCTGAAGAAAGAGATTGAGGAAGTCTATAGAAAGTGGAGAGATCTCCCATGCTCATGGATTGGTAGAATCAACATAGTAAAAATGTCGATACTCCCCAAAGTAATCTACATGTTTAATGCAATTCCCATCAAAATTCCAATGACATTCATTAAAGAGATCGAAAAATCTACCATGAAATTTATATGGAAATACAGGAAGCCACGATTAGCCAAGGCAATACTCAGACAAAAGAACAATGCAGGAGGTATCACGATACCTGACTTCAAACTATATTACAAAGCAGTAACAATAAAAACAGCATGATACTGGCATAGAAACAGACATGAAGACCAGTGGAACAGAATAGAGGACCCAGATATGAAGCCACACAACTATAACCAACTTGTCTTTGACAAAGGAGCTAAAAATATACGATGGAGAAATAGCAGCCTCTTCAACAAAAACTGCTGGGAAAACTGGTTAGCAGTCTGCAAAAAACTGAAACTAGATCCATGTATATCACCCTATACCAAGATTAACTCAAAATGGATCAAGGACCACAAACTCTAAAGTTAATACAGGAAAGAGTAGGAAATACTCTGGAGTTAGTAGGTATAGGTAAGAACTTTCTCAACGAAACCCCAGCAGCACAGCAACTAAGAGATAGCATAGATAAATGGGACCTCATAAAGCTAAAAAGCTTCTGTTCATCAAAAGAAATGGTCTCTAAACTGAAGAGAACACCCACAGAGTGGGAGAAAATATTTGCCAGCTATACATCAGACAAAGGACTGATAACCAGAATATATAGGGAACTTAAAAAACTAAATTCTCCCAAAACTAATGAACCAATAAAGAAATGGGCAAGTGAACTAAACAGAACTTTCTCAAAAGAAGAAATTCAAATGGCCAAAAAACACATGAAAAAGTGCTCACCATCTCTAGCAATAAAGGAAATGCAAATCAAAACCACACTAAGATTCCACCTCACCCCTGTTAGAATAGCCATCATAGCAACACCACCACAACAGGTGTTGGCGAGGATGCGGGGAAAAAGGAACCCTCTTACACTGTTGGTGGGAATGTAAACTAGTACAACCACTCTGGAAAAAAATTTGGAGGCTACTTAAAAAGCTGACATTGATCTACCATTTGATCCAGCAATACCACTCTTGGGGATATACCCAAAAGACTGTGACACAGGTTACTCCAGAGGCACCTGCACACCCATGTTTATTGCGGCACTATTCACAATAGCCAAGTTATGGAAACAGCCAAGATGCCCCACCCACTGACGAATGGATTAAGAAAATGTGGTATCTATACACAATGGAATTTTATGCAGCCATGAAGAAGAACGAAATGTTATCATTCGCTGGTAAATGGATGGAATTGGAGAACATCATTCTAAGTGAGGTTAGCGTGGCCCAAGAGACCAAAAATCATATGTTCTCCCTCATATGTGGACATTAGATCAAGGGCAAACACAACAAGGGAATTGGACTATGAGCACATGATAAAAGCGAGAGCACATAAGCGAGGGGGGAGGATAGGTAAGACACCTAAAAAATTAGTTAGGATTTGTTGCCTTTAACGCAGAGAAACTAAAGCAGATACCTTAAAAGCAACTGAGGCCAATAGGAAAAGGGGACCAGGAACTAGAGAAAAGGTGAGATCAAAAAGAATTAACCTAGAAGGTAACACACACGCACAGGAAATTAATTTGAGTCAACTCCCTGTATAGCTATCCTTATCTCAACCAGCAAAACCCTTGTTCCTTCCTATTATGGCTTATACTCTCTCTACGACAAAATTAGAAATTATGGCAAAATAGTTTCTGCTGGGTTGAGGGGATAGGGGGGAGAGGGAGGGAGCAGAGTGGGTGGTAAGGAAGGGGGTGGGGGCAGGGAGGAGAAATGACCCAAGCCTTGTATGTACATATGAATAAAAAAAAAAAACTACCTACAAAGAAAGGTCAAGGACCCAGTGGCCTCACTTGTGAATTCTGCCAAACATCTAAAGGAGAATTAATTCCCATTCTCACAAACTCAAACACCAGAAGAGGAGAAAACATCTCAAACTCAGTTATGAGGCTATTATTACCCTGATTAACAAAACCAAGGAAAGTTTCATAAGAAAAGGACAGACAGTATCTTTTATGACACACATACAATCCCTCAATAATTCACTAGTAAACTGAATCTAATAGCACAGTAAAGAATTCTACACTATGATCAAAGGGTCATATCTGATCATATCTAAATCTACAATGCACAAACAGGAGGATCAACATCTAGGCCAGTCAGGGCAGGAAGCAAGATCCTATTTCAAAACTAACCAATGCAGAGAGGGGGGCATGGTTCAAGTGGTAAAGCACCTGCCTGGCAGGCACACAATGCCCCAAGTTCAAACTCCACTACCACAAAAGTAAGCAATGATTGTAAAAAAGGTTTGGTGGAGTGGGTCAAGTGGTAGAGCACCTACCTAGCCAAGTGTGAGACCCTGAGTTTACCAACCCTGCAGTACAGGCAAAAAAAGCCAAAAACAAAACAAACAAAATAAAGTAAGGTAGGCGTGGTGGTACATGCCTTCAACCCCAGACACATAGGTGGGAGAATACAGTCCAAGGTCAGCCCCAGTTACATCTGAAAAATAATCTAAAGCAAAAATGGTTGGAGGCATGGCTCAAGTGGTAGAGCACCTGCCTTGAAGACCCTGAGTTTACAGTCCAATACCACAGGGTTATGGGGGAACCAATAAACCCAAACTCTTGGCTGGGCCATGGTGGCTCACATGTGTGATCCTCGCTACTTGGAAGGCTGAGATTAGGAGGATCACCAGGAGCCAGTCTGTTCAAATAGTTCAAGAGATGCCATTTTCAAAATAACCACAGCAAAATGAGCTGGAGCGTGGCTCAAGCAGCAGAGCACCTGCTTTGCAAGTGCAAAACCCTGAGTCCAAAACCCAACTCCACTGAAAAAAAAAAAAACACACCAAACTTTTTTTTTTTTTTGGCATGTTGTGCTGGGGATCAACCCAGAACCTGTGTATGCTCTACTAAGTTACACCCCAGCCTAAAAACAAAACAAAAGGCTAGTAAGTAGCCTTTCTATTGTCTACTCTTAAAAGTATGACAAATTATAAATTATTTCTTAAATTATGAAATCACATTTACTTTAAAAAGACTCAAATATACTATTTTAGAAAATGATAAAACCCTACCCAACGTGAGGGATCACTGATCAAGTTAATGAATAGTGCTGATAGCTTGGTCCGTCGGATTTCTTGACATGTTGCACATGAAACTGCCATGAAGCACTCTGCACATGCCTTCCGGACTCCCCATACATTGTCAGAACACAGCTGGAAAAACCTGGGCAGCTACGCAAGGACAAAGAGAGGAGGATTCCACAGTTACTTCTCTTTCATTTTCTGTTTTAAATATTGGATTTTCTTTAAAAAGCAGAAATCCTATTTAACAATACTCAGTAATTTCTAATGAATCACATCTAATGCATAATTAACTATGAAAATGTAAAAATATTCTCTACAAACATAGCTTAATGTTATCCAAGAGCTTTACCTGAACTTATTTTGTGTAACAGATATTTTCAGAAACTGTATGAACTTGTACATCAAGCATACCCTGGGTGCTACTTGAAACTGCAGATTTAAAGTGCCACCAAAATACTGAAGGGTTGCAATAAAATTAAAGATTCAGTTGAATAAATTAGAATTTATTTACCAATAGAAATGGAGAAGGTATCAATAAATCAATGCTTCTCATACCTATTTTAACACACCAGCCTCATAAAAGTACAATTCAAGTACCCAGATTGCAGAAATTTAAAGTTCGAAACTCAAAGTCATTATTCTGGCTTACACTCATGGGACTATGTCAATAAAATTTGAGGTAAATGTTTGCATTTCAAACTTCATGTGTTATTTTGTAACATGTTGCTTGCTCTTGCATTACACCTGAGATTATTATACCTGGAATACTTACCAACATTTCCTCGGTAGCTTGCTGGCCAACTACACTGCAAATATCTCCAAAATTGGCAGCACAGACCTGACAACAAAAATATTGACAATTCAAAATATTACAGATAGAGTTCCTTAAAAACAATCTACTGAGCTGGGTATGTAGCTCTTCATTGGTAGACTGCTTGCCTAGCATGCCCAAGGCCCTGGGTTAGATCTATAGTACAGCAAAATAAAAATAAAACATTAAAAAATTTTAAAACTCAATCTATTAAATTTCACATATCAATACATCAATTGTTAGATCTGTGTATTCTTAAGTGGAAAAAACTGACTATAAAGATACCTTTCGAACATGAAACATTCTACAATCACAGCACATCTCGCAAAACCTAGGGAGGATAAGACGTTCTGTAATATCCTTCCCAACCATGGGAGCCATCTTGCACATTATCTAAAATAAAGAGAAAAAAGAAAAATACATTGAAAAATACCTGTAATGTAAGGTTTTTTTCAATCAAATCTGATAATTTCATAAAGCTTAATCACTTTGACAGGTAACTTTAAAAGTAAAGAAAAATATATGCATTTTTCTAGTTTAAAAAAAAGTGATTGTTCAAAAGGAAAGATTACCTGCCAGACAGCTTAGTACTGCTAAGGAGAAATGACACATAAGTAGTCCTCAACCTGCACAGCCCAAGATAACTGAAGCTCATCAGAACCCTGCGATGGATTTGCAATCTTGGTTTTGGGACACAATTCCACTGTACATGTGTTTTAGTTAACACAGGACACTAGACCAGGGGAAGGCTAGCTTTATTTGAAAAGTAGTTCTCTATTATAGAAGTATATCCTCCGTAGTTCATGTAGAAAGAAATCTGGTGTCTGTCATTTCCAATAGTATCTATTCCTAGATTATGTAGTATGACAAGAAGTAACAAGCATACAAACTGAAAAGAAAGCAAGCTCGCTTTATTCATTTATGATACAATATGGTTGTCTACACAGAAAATCTAAAGAAATCTACAAGAAGCCACCAGAACAGAAAAAGGAGTGTAAGAAAGAATGCTGCAGGTTATGTATCAGAATACAAAAACCTACTGTATTTCTGTAAATTAGCAATGAACAACTGGAAAGTTTAAAAAAATAAAGTATCAGAATGTTAAAGAACAAAAAATGTGAGCCAGGCACCAGTGGCTCATGCCTATAATCCTAGCTACTTGGGAGGCTGGGACTGGGAGGATCATTGTTCCTTGCAAACCTGAGCAAATAGTTTGTGAGATCCCCTCCTCCAAAATAAACATAGAAAAATAGACTGGAGGTGTGGCTTAAGTGGTAGAGAGTCTGCTTTGTAAGCTTGAAGCCAAGTTCAAACTCTAGTCCCACCAAAAAAACCCACCACAAAAATCTGGGCTGAGTGTAATGGCTCAGCTACTCCAGAGGTAGAGGTTGGGAGGATCATGGCTTGAGGCCAGCTCAGGCAAAAAAGTGAGAGCTCCTAACTCAACCAATAACCCAGGCACAGTAGCAGATACCTGTAATTCCAGCTACACAGGAGGTGTAAGCAGGTGGATCACAGTCTGAGGGTGACCCAGGGCAAAAATGTGAGTCTCTCTCTGAAAAATAACTAAAACAAAAAGAGCTGGGGGCATGGCTCAAACCGTAGAGAACCTGTTTGCCTAGCAAGCATGAGGCCCTGAGCTCAAATTCCAGTATCACCAAAAAAACCCCCCAAAACCATGAGATCTAAGAAAACTACACACAGGAACTTTCTGTTGAAAACTACAAAACAGAGAATGCAATCAAATACTTAAATAGATGGAGAGATGGGTCTACCAGGTTCATGGATAGCTCAAATGGACCTCCTACCAAGACCTCAGCACCAGAACTGGAGACAATGCCTACATCTCCCAGACCCCTTCCAACAATTACGTAAAGCGCTATCTAAAAGTCTAGAGTTACGCTGGATCACTATAATTTAGTGATAAATTATTCCTAAAATAAACATAACCAACTGTGAGAACGATGACTTCCCACCAGTGCTGGATATTTGTTATAATACTTCATTAATCTTAAATCCCACCAAAAGTTAAAATACACCACCAGGTTAGACTCTGGTTAATATAAACCAACAGTTGTGCCCAAACAGCTTTTCTGTACTGACAAGTTTCTGACATTAAAAAAAAAAAAAATGTCTTAGAAGTAGGTAGAGCTTAATTTATCATTACTTTTCTATTTTACTATCAGAATTCATACTATCTGAACTCAGGAACCATAGACATGAATCATCATGTATATTACTAGATAATAACTCATACCCTATTTACAATGACTTTCAGTAGTTAGAATATTTGCTAACTATGTCCAAAAAAACTACTACATTTAACTTTGTTATAGGCATAGTGACTTAATCTGCATATTCTAATAATCATCACCGATTTACACACATCAAAGTAAAATTGCCTGCATGACTATCTTTTCTCCGAAGACAATAGTGTCAAAGGCAATGCTAAGTTCTTTTTCTTTTTTACTTCCACTGTTCTCACACAGTGCCTAGAAAAATGCTCAACAGAAACTCATCAAATTCTTCTTCATTCAATATGGCCTTTTTAAAATTTAATTGTACTGGTAATAACCACCTTATTTTTCCATTTTAACATAATAATGATTAACAGTTACTTCTTGTACTGTGTGAAGATACCCCTTTTCTCTTGGAAATCTTTATGCCCCTTCCTACTGCTGCACTGTATTTCAAATAATTGTGAGTACTTTAACAGATAAACTACTTTAATCCAAGATAAACTAGTTTAACAGTTGATGAGTACTTCTGTTGGGTCTAGATGAGTGAGTATCCCATCCCCCATGGAGAGCACTATCATTCCTACATCCTGAGGAGATGGAGGCCTGCATTCCTGCATCCTAAAGGAGAGATACACAGTCTGATAAATCTGCCACAGGGCTGATGAGCAAAATGCTCTCAAGGTTGTTCCCCGTCCCCGCCCCCTACCAGTAAGGGGCAAACAGACCAGTTCATCTAAGAAAGCCCGTGAATCCATGGCCAATGAGAAAACCCCACCTAACCCAGAGTTAGAACGTCCATAAAAACCCCAGCCTTCACTTGAGCAAGGGAGTTACTGGCTTCCAGGCTCCGCTGCACTGCTCTAGCTGTAGCCTTTCCTTTCCCGCTAATAAATCCTATTTTATATACTGATTTGGCTCATCATTCAGCTGCCTCACGAGGCACTTCTCTGGCCTGTGCCTCAACCCCGGCACGTAACACTCTGTTATCAATCACGTTTTGCCTCAATGGAGACATGCCCTTCTACTCACAGCCACAGCTTCTGTTTTCACATCGTCATTGCTGTCTGGGGCAGTCAGCTCTATGAGCACAGGACAAACTTTGGTCTCCACGTCAAATCGCTCAATCAGTTCCTGCTCCAGTAGAGCCAGCAAAGCTGCCTGACTTGTTTTCCTCACCTAGGAAAAAACACAGTAATATAAACAAGTTACAAACACAATATTATAAACTTGTGCTTTACAAACTTGAAGAATTCTCATCTCAACATAAATAAATTCTTAACTTGTAAAACCTTGCAAATAAATGTTTGAGGCTACTTTCTCTAGCCATTACAAAGACAGAATCTGGTAGTGTTGTAATAGAAAAGTGGAACACAAAAAGCCACTGTCTTAAAGATGTCTCACACAAAGTAACATTCTGAGGGACACCTAGCAGGGGAGTGTTACTAGCCATCTGTAAGTGGCATTAAAAAGACCTAATATATCTATCAGATTCTTAAGGACCTTACCTAAGACAACTGATCATTTCTGAGAAAACAATAATGAAGTAACACCAGAAAAAATATTCAAATGAAATCACAGAGGCCAGGCCATTCCACATACATTATGCTACATAAAACTCCTTTAAGAACAAGAAAATGGAACTCTTACCTGGTTATTCTGATCTGCAAGATATCTAACCACAATAGGTAGCAAGTATTTGGAAAAAGCATATGGTATTGAAGGCCGGTTTTCTTGGCAAAACAATGCAATGTGAGGCACCTGTTCCATCAGCTCTGCTCTCACAGTTGGTTCTATTGAAACAACAGCAATGTAAGCAAACACTTCTCTGCAGTTAACCATCTTTATCTGGGCTTTTACCTCAGCATAGAAAGGATTTACAAAAATGTTCTCAACCTTGCAGTCCTTCACACAATAATGAACTAAAGGAGGAAATGACCCCCAGCCTGGGCTTCTATTATTCAAAAGATGCACTAAGTACCTAATAATTTCTTGCAATGAATACATTTATTCATCACTTACAACAGTGCTACATTGTGCCGAAGGCTAAATAATCCAATTTTTACATCAGCACTATAATATGACACTATCTATCATGATCTAAAAACCTCCTAGGACAAGTTATAATGACTGGCTCTTAATCTCAATAGTCTATGCAGATTTATGACCCCATTTTAACTCAGACTAAAAAGAAGAAAAATCAGTATTATGAGTATTAAAGGAGTCAAATGGATTTTTTAAAATACTAAAATAACTCAAGTGTATATGGCAAATTTAAATGTTATAAACATGGCATTTCAAATCTCTGGGTTTCAAAAATATGGACTATCCAATAAATAATGGCAGGAAAATCAGCTAATTATATGAGCAGGGGGTTAAAGAGGAAAAAAAAAAATCCCATACATAAATTCCAAGTGAAATAGTTTCAAACTTAAAAAAAAAAACTCAAAGCACTAAATGATAATATTAGAAGAAATGTTCATTCTTACGGTAGAAAAACAAAACCAAAAACCTAAAAACTAATTTCACTTTGTAACAACTTCATTATCGATAACAGATGCCACATTCAGTTAACAGGGCAAACAGCCTAGGAAGAAATCTGTATACCAAAGCATTAAGTCAAATATACAAAGAACTCAGTGTTCAAGCGAACATAAGAAAGGAAATAAAGATATGAACAGACAACTCGCAGAGTCATCTAAGTAACTGAGCCAGATGTGAGGGAATACCCGCATCAATTCACAGCAGGCCTCCTAGAGCTTTGGAACCTATTAGTGACTGCATTATGAAAGTTACCTAAAGCAAATGTGCATGAATGCCTCCACTGGAATTTAAGATCTCAACAAAGAAAATTAATGAAGCTATCAATGGAAAATCTTAGTATCTTACAAAGCTAAGAATCTTAGCAACAAACCACTATCTGCAATTTCTATACTATTACTACACATAAAGTTAGACAGTATTTAATAGAGTGCTTCTGTTTTGAATAATAAAAATCTAACTTAAAAAGTAGCTGTGCATGGTGGCGCATACTTGTTGCTGGGACTGGGGTTTGAACTTGGGAGTTTCATTTGTTCCATCTATTTTTTTAAAAACACATATATGATACTGGGCTCATATCTAAAATAAAGAATTCCTGAAAATCTGTAAGAAAAAACTTGCCAAATTATAAAAAGTAGGGAAAGACTTGAACAGACATTTCAAAAATGAAGACAGACCTAAGTAGCCTTAATAAGCACACAACCAGGCACTCAACTTCACTAGTCACTAAGTTAAAACTACAATGAGATATCACTACATACCCATCCATTCCCTTGTGGCAAAAAATAGGTGTTAGTGAAGATGTGAAACAACAGGAATTCACATATACTGCTGATGGGACTACACAAGTTATACCACTGGAAAACTACAGAACATCTATTAAGGATAAATCTCTACATATCTTACGAACTACTGACCTATTTATTTCTAAGTGTATAGCCACAGAAATGTGTGTGCCTGTGCTCCACAGGCCTTCTTGGCTCTCAACAGCATTGATAGCCTCAAACTATCATAATTCACATGTTCATAACAGGACAACGGATAACTTAGTTACAGGAGGCAGCATGTAAGAGACTACTGGTAAAACAACTGAGTAAGTCAAAAACTACATCCACATTCAATGATAGGAACAAGCCTCAGAAATACAGAGAACAAGACAGGAAAGAATACATTAAGTATGATTCTGTAAGTTTGGACAGGCAAACTAATCTATACTTCAGTGATCAATGATACTTACCTTTGGGGAAGAGGAGTGAAATGGAAATTAGGAGATACACTAATTTCTCCTTAGATGTTTTCTAGGGTGTTAGTTCTAGTTTTTCACTATGTGAAACTTCATGAGGTTGAATACTTACAATTCACATACTTTTTATAGTGTGTTTGGTTCAATATTAAACCAAATCTGCTTTAAGAAAGTTACTTCTGAAACTCTAGACATATACTTGGACTGGGTTCCAAACCTACACATTCAGCATTAGTTTGAGAACTGCCTCTCTCCATCCAACATAATAAAAATACATACACACCACATTTATACACACCAGAAAATTCACATAAAAGCACTCCAAGTTGCTAACAGTCCTAAAATCTGGAAAACTGACTGTAAGCCACTTGTAGGGGACACTCTCATCATGAAGGCTGAACCAAGTAACAAATTTCTATGAAGTCCACTAATTAACTCACAATCAAAACAGACAAGGAAAATGACAAGGATGTGATACTACAGCAAAAAGATTAAGACACAAGGGAAGGACAATAACACCAAGCACTTCAGCAATTATTACAAGCAATTTGTGGAAGTTTTAATCATTTTAAACATTCTATTTTAAAAACATGGTAAAGAGGGAAAAAAAGAACAAAGAGCCTAATAAGGCAAGAAAACCCAAGAAGATCTGAAAACAAAGCACCTAAAATTACTGAAAATGAAAATATGAAGTTATCAGCAAGGAAAAATTAAATGGTCAGATGGCAGGTTAGGCTTTGGTAGCAAATACTTTGCTGAGAGAAATTACCAAAATCCAGATGGGAGATAAAGGATAGAATAATAAGAATACTCAAAAGCAATGGAAAATATAATGTATTTATCTACCAAGAGCTCCATATTTCTTAACCATATAAAAAAATACCTACTCAAACAAAAAATAAACTTAGAAAAGATTTTAAGATGGAGGAAAGGCAATATTCAAATGTTAAAGGATGAAATTTCCCCTATTGGACTGAAAGATAAAAATCCTCAGATTCAAGAAGCAGGCCAAATCCTAAGTAGAATATATTTGTACCTAAACAACACAACGAAACTGCAGAACAGCAAGGAAGGCTTTAAAAGCTTTAAGAAAAACAAACAAGATTACCTACAAAGACACAAAATTAACTAGCAGATTTCTCAACAGTAAGAAATGGAATAGTATTAAAACTATCAGCTACTAGTTTCTACAATAGTCATCACCTTACATGGACATTACAATCAGACTAACCACTAGGAAATACCAGGGTCATCTTGGCTCTTCCTCATTGCAAATACTGAGGTAGGTCTGGAATAGCTCCTCACACTTCAATTTTTTCAAACAATTCAACCTCCCAATTAGTCTTCTTGTCACCCATCTCTTTTCATCAAGTCAACTTATATCAACTCTCTAGTCTGGCCTATTACAAACCTTTATAATAACCTAGCCCTCACATGCTCTCTAATTTCAGCAAACTCCTCCCTGATGGCCAAAGGGGCCACCATCATAACTTCTCAAGCTTCTAAACCTGTCTTTTCTTGCCCCATGTATGCCCTCATCATTCTATCAAATCCAACACCAACTGTCATTTAACGAAACTGTTACTTAACTCAAGTAAAAATTGTACTTGAAGAACCCTTCTTAACATATAGAATAATCATATACAAGGATAATTAAGTATGCAAAAACAGATTAGTAAACTTATACATGTTCTATATACCCTTAAGAAAATCTTAAAAATTTAGGGCTTATGCAAATAGTTAATATATTCCCAATTTCTTACCAGAAGTTCATCTAAAAATTGAAAGTTGAGACTTAACTGACATGCCTAAGTGTTTGTCAGACATAAAAAACCGTATTAAATAAAGAGATAATGGATTTAAGAGAAAAAGATTTTGAAATTTATTTCTGGATTATTTTACAAATAAGAATTAAAACGTGCTTAAAGCTTTGTTTTACCTTAAAAACAGCATGTCTTATATATACCTTACCACAGTAAAAAAAAAAAAAAAAAAAAAATCCACATCTTAAATATCAACATTATCATTCTCTAATTTTCAATTCAAGTTGACGTCTTTCTTAAGGAGACTTTCCTGTCATTAATATTTTAATAATAAACCAGCTTTTCTTTTTTTTTTTTTTTATAAATGACTGATTAATTTTTTTGCAAGTAAAGCATAAAGCATTTTATATCTACTCAAAATTTTTATAGCCCTTTCCATCTCTTAATTTATTCTAAAGTATTTAAAATTTTATTACTCCTAAAATGTCAGCATAAATGTTGTAAAATAATGTTCTTAGATTTTGATGAGAAATTTCCAAAATTAAATGAAAGGGGCCTACTATAAACTGTTTGTTCTTAGTAATAGATTTTTTTCTTATTAGTAGTGGGTTTGATCATTTATGTTTAAAAAAAAAATTTTTTTGTTTTTTGTTTTGAGACAGGATCTCGTAGCACAGGCTGGCCTCAAACTCTTGAGTCTCCTGCTTCAACCACTCCTGTGCTAGGTTTTGAGTCTCCTGCTTCAACCACCCCCGTGCTAGGAATGTTAGGTATGTGTGCCACCATGCCTGGTCCACTGGAAATCTTTTAAAGAAATTTTGTATCACACTAATTGTTCCCTTAGTTTTAGAAACAAGTTTTGTAAATAATATCTTTCTAAGAACAGTAAATTTGTTTTCTCTGTATGAACATACCTGAATCGTCAGCTAATCTGCTAATTCTTTCCAAAACAGCAATACAATCTCTTTCATCATCGCAGACTTCCCTCAACGTATCCAGCAAACTCCGGGCCACCATTTGTCTACACAGAAAAAGAAAATTAGACTGGGTTTTGTGGTATTAGAATTTTAAAAGACAGAATCCATACTTTTTTTTTCTGGTGGGAGTAGAGTTTTTAAATTCACAGCTTTGCATTTGCAAAGCAGGTGCTCCACCACTTGCATAATGTCTCCAGTCCATTTTGCTGTGGTTATTTTGGAGATGGAGTCTCACAAACTATTTGCCTGGGTTGGCCTTGAACTGTGATCCTCCTGATCTCAGCCTCCCAAATAGCTAGGATAACAGGCATGAGCCACTAGCATCCAGCTCCATATGTTTTTTAAAGACAACTTTTTTCTTATTGCATTTTACAACATATTAAACTTGTAATTACCTATGTGGCAAATGCCAATACTGATTCTACAGATGAGATTGAATAAGAACTATTTTTTTATCTTCATCTAACTGATCTGACAAATTTCTAAAGTTACTGGAAATTCATTTTGAACAGTTTCCTTCAATAACCACAATATTTTTTCACAAGTAAAGCATACATAAAGAATTTTGTATTTACTTAAAAATTTTATAGCCCTTTCCATCTCTTAATTTATTCTAAAATATTTAAAATTTTATTAATCCTAAAATGTTATCATAAATGGCGCAAAATAATGTTCTTAGATTTATTTTGATGAAAAACTTCCAAAATGAAATATTTTTTACTCCTCATTGTACAAAATGTTGTGTTTATTAGTATGAGTATACTCAAAGGCTTTTTGATTTCCCAGAAAAGTCTGCTACAGTGGTGTAGAGACCACAGCTGGAAAAACCAGTTATTAGGAGGAATGCTAGATCTGGGTCACACTGCTCTGTGTTCTAAGCACATCTGGCACACAGTAGGCATACCATGACCTCTGGTGAAGCAATTTACATAAGTACCAAAACTATGCCCAATGGCAAAAAAAGGCAATTTTTTTCTTGCCAAAAAAGCAAAGAAAGAAAATGAGATGGTGTGTGCTTACTAGGATTAAGGAGTAAATATGTCCAATGCAGGTCCATGATTAGATTATTAATAAAACTTGGCAGCTCAGATGCACACATTAATACTTAAAGATGGATACTTTATTTTCTTTACGGAAATGAATAACCCTCCCTTGCATGTTAATGAAAAGCACACACACATACCTGTTAAATACGTTCTCGCTCGCAGCATACTTGTCCAGTCTCCCCAGTGGCGTCAACATTTCATCTTGTGAGACGAAGTCCAGGGCTGAAGGTATAACAATCACATCAGACTCTGAGCTGTAGTCATCCACACCAACTATCAGAGACACCAGAAATACTCCTTTATAACACTCTGAAACTAAAAAGCACCCTGTGCTTGTCTGAAGCAGCACAAGTATGTTTCTGGAGAGGTACAAAGACCCGGAAGAGAATCTTAAAATCAACCCAGCTGCCAGGAATAACTGAAGGACACTTCCTCTCCTTTCTCTAGAGATGTGTTCTAACTGCCTGTGGAAGCATAAGGGTCAAAGGCTACAGACACTGAATGAAGGGGGCAAAGTGATCACAGTCTTAAGAACTTACATACTCAGAACTCTAACAACTTGTAAGTGGATACACAAAAAGTGAAACACTGAGCTGGGTGTGGTGGCTCGCATCTGTAATCCCAGCTACTAGGGAAGAACAAATCAAGAGGATGGAGGTTTGAGACTAGACTGGACAAAAAGTTAGTGAGACCGCCATCTCAACAAATAAAAAGCTGTACATGGTGGCACACACTTGCTATGTGGGAGACACAGGTAGGAGGATAATGGTCCAAAGCCAGCCTGGCAAAAAATGAGACCCTATCTGAAAAATAACCATGCTAGAGGCATGGCTCAAATGGCAGAGTCCTACCTAGCAATCACAAGGTCCTGAGTTCAAACCCCAGTACTGCTACCCACCAAAAACTGATCAATTCTACAATGTAGAAAATAAAACTAATGAAATTAGTTTGACTTTACTTATGAGGAAAGATAAAAACCATTAGTGTTTATATTTAAAATGTTATTAAATACAGTTGTGCCAAGCTCTAGGCTACATGTTGGAGAAACAACCATGAAAATGCTAATATTTTTGCCTTCCAAGACCTAAACTTCTGTTGAGAAACAATCTGTTTTAAAATGATACAGGCATGTACACAGTGCAAGGCCAGCAACATGCTTAAGCTACAGGAAGAAGAGAAGACCAAGAAACAATGCCTAAAACCTAATCCAGAGGCAATGATTTCAAAGGGTTCTGGAAGGTCTGATTAAATAGACACCTACTACCCAAGGAGGCTGGGAAGGACAAAGGATGCCACTGAATTTGGTACTTCTGTGCCATACTGGGTGGAACCTAGGTCAACTAACAAGAGCATTTTCTGTGGTATGAAAGTAGAGAAGCCAAATCACAGTGATTGAAGAGGTGAAGGAAAACAAAGAAGTGAAGACAACCAGTACAAAACACGCCTTCCAGAACTGCAGCTGTGAAAGAATTGATTGGATTAGATTATTAACCAGGACACACAGGCAAGATGAAGATTACTTTTTATTTTGCTTGTTTTATTATTTAAAAGAAGAGAAAGATCTGAAACATAATTGCAAAATGAAATTAAATAATTAACAAATAAGTACAAATTATCTAGGAATAAGTAAAAATATAACTAATGGGAAAATCATGAAGCTGGAGCACAGACCCAGAGTTTAGGAAGATAGATAAAACACCCATGAGATTATAGTCTTTCCCAAATCCTAAGAGCTTTCATAGCATTTTGTCTTACTCTTACTTTGTGGCACTTCCGCCTCTACCTGACTTTTCTCTACCAGTACCTCGTGCTTGTTAGTTTGCCTTTCTGTAGTAGGATGTGGCTAGGAATTTTCAACTAATTAACTTCTTTATCTAGGAATATTTCCTGGCAAAAAAAATAAGCACTTAAGTATTTTTGAAACAAATCTGTTCCTCACTTGCAATAGCAGATTTTATCTCTGTCCAGATCCTTAATTAAGAGAAAAACAGCAAGCTTCTCTCAAATGATGTTATGTGACAATAGAAAAGATTCACCATTTCCCAACCACATCCATAATGCTACTGCTTTGAATGCAGTTTAAAGCTTAAACCATATCTAACTTTATTAATAAATGAGCTGATCCTAACAGCATGGGCTCTTGATGCTCAGACAAGTGACCTTTCTACCTTCTCAAATAACCTTTTCATGTAGCCTATCTTACTCAATACAAGACAGAAGCCTGGCTAATATTAAAGCACTTGGCACATATTTTATGGAATTCAATTATAAAAGCAAAAATGCCAATTTTAAAAGTGAATGAGTATAGCCTGCCAGAGGGGCTCAAATGATAGAGCACCTGTATAGTAAACATATGAGGCCCTGAGTTCAAACTCCAGTACTGCAAAAAAAAAAGTCAATATAGCATAGGCTCCTGTTGCAGAACTCATTATATATTAAGAAATATTTTTACTCCCAAGAAAACACTATCAGAAAGCCTACAAAGGGCAGCACAGCTACTTCTAACTATTTCAACTTGCAAAATAAAAATAACTTCTGAATTAAAATAAATATCCAAACATACTCTCCCATTTATGAAAAAAATGAAGTATCAAAGAGCAAGTTTATTCTCACACCTTAAATGGCTAAAAATTAAAAACAAAAAACAAAAACAACCAAACAACAACAAACCTGTAAGAAATGACTTCAGGGCTGGAGATGTGACGAGTGGTAGAGTGCCTGTCTAGCAAGCAGAAAGCCCTGAGTTCAACCCCAGTACCACAAGACAGAGACAGAGAGAGAACTGAGAAAGGAAAGAAATGAGACGTACTACCCAGCATACTTAAGTTGCCAAAGAGAGTTTGCAGGCAGAGAATTAGAAAGAAGAGAGTTTCAGAAAGTCCCTTCTTTGTGTTTGTTTTTTGAGACAGGGTCTCACTATTAGCACAAGCCAGTCTCTAACTCTCAATCCTCCTGTCTCAGACTCTGAGTGCTGGGATTACAGGCATGACCACCAAGCCCAGCTTAGAAGGTCCTATTCTTTAGTCTTTAGGTGAATACTGAAACTGTATGTATGTATGTATATCTGGGAAAAAGTTACCTGAAAAAAAGGACCGGGAATAGTTCATGTCTCTACCATCCAAAACGGGGGAGAAAAACAAATTAACTCTGTAATAACATGAGACAAAATACTCTGAGGTTGCTCTACTTTTGCCTCATAAAGGACATGGCTATCTTCAAGTAACTTTTCTGTATCCCAGAATAAAACTCAAGAGTATATACATGAATGAAAAAGTATCTAGCACTCAACAAAGTAAAAGCCACAATGTCTAGCATCCAATAAGGAAAAACAAAAATAAAAACTACTAGACATGCAAAAAAGCAGGAAAGCCATGAAGACAAAAACCCAACTGTAGAAACAGATCCAGAAGGGACAAAAATTGACAGGATTAGTAGACAAGGACAGTCAAACAGTTCTTATAACTATATTCTGTATTTCAAGAAGGTAGAAAAAAACACAAATATGGTACATGGAAAATATTTAAAACTTTGATCTTCTGGTTAAAAAAAACATAAACAGAAAAAAAGGATGAAAATACACTGGATGGAATCAAGAGAAGATCAGATAATACAGAAGAAAAGATCAAGGATCCTGAAGACACAACATGAGAAAAAATGTATTAAATGAAACAAAAATTATGGAAGAAGGGGACAGAGCATCACTCAACTGTAAGGAAAACTTCAAGCAACCTAACATGCATGTACTTGAAGTCTCTAAAGGAGGAAGAGGAGCATAAAAAATATTTAAAGAAACAATGGACAAAAATTCCAAATGTGTTGACAATTATTAATCCACAGACTCAAGGGATTCAATGAATCCCATGAGTAAGAAACAAGAAAAATACACTAACACATAATAAAGTTGCTTAAAGCTAGTGAGAAAAATCTTTTAATTGGCCAGAGAAAAACTTACTTTACATACAGAACAAAGATAAGCAAGCAGACTTATTTGAAACAATACAGTCCAGAAGGCAAGAGGGCAACAACTTTATAGTGACAGAAAACAAAATCAACATAAACATAAATCTTTCAAATATGAAGCTGAAATAAAGGCTTTCCTCAGACATGAAAATGCTGACATCATCAACATGTACTAGAAGAAATATTAGTCCTTCAAGAAAAAAGTTACACCAAATGGGAATCTGGATCTACACAAAGGCACAGAGTATCAGAAATGTTAAAAATGTGGGTAAAAAGGTTTTTCTTATTTTTGAAATCTCTTTAAAACATAATTGACTATTTTAAGCAAAAATACATTTGTAGATAAAACATATTGTGGCGTTCAAAACATATGTAGAAGTAAAATGTGTAACTCTAAGTACAACGTAGCAAAGACAAAGTATACTTCTGTAAACTCAAACTGTCTGAAGATAAGACTGTGGTAAATTGAAAGACACACAAATTATAACCAACTATTTTTTAAAAATCATTAAAGACAAACAGCAAATACATCAATAATTGCCATAAATAATCCACAAGAAGGAAGAACAAAAGGGTAAGGGAACAAAGAAGAGATGGGATAAACAGATGGAAAAACAGCAAGAAAAGGAATTTAAGCTGGATGCAGTGGCTCATGCTTATACTCCCAGCTACTCAGGAAGTTCAAGACCAGCCAGGGCAAAGTTAGCTACTCCATCAATAAGCTGAGTGTGGTGTTGCTCCTGTCATCCCAGGTACATGGGAGGCCTGAACAGGAGGACCACAGTCAAGGCTAATCTGGGCAAAAACACAAGATCCTATTAAAAAAAAGTAAAAAGTAAAAAGGGCTAGTGTGGTATGGCTCACATATCACACTGGCATGTGATTGCCTACCTGGCAAGCAAGAGGCCCTGAGTTCAAACCCCAGTATTATAAAAATAAAAATTAATAAAAGATATTTAAACCTAATCACTAAGTACATTAAGTGCAAATAGTCTAGAATTCCAATTAAAAGGTAGAAATTATCAAACTGGATTAAAAATAACACCTAATCATGTACATAATCACTTACATAGTGAAGAAAAATTTTATTTTCTGAACTACAACTCATAGCTAAGTACCTTATTCATTATGAATTGAAAAGCTTGAAAAGGCCACTGGGACACTCATTTGGCCTCAGTGTTCTCCTTGGTAATGTCAGACTGCTGAGATAGCATGACCCCTTTAAGGCACCTTTATGCAGACTCTAGAATTCTATGACTATGACCAAACTATTTCATCAGATCTCACACGTGTTCATCTTAAATACTGCTTCT